CGCCTAACCCTGTAGCGTTTGACCACGGGATCTACCCCTTTGACTTTGCACGGACGGGCTTTGACCAGTGGACCTTCCCACCCGGTTGTGTTAGGTCAGCCCATAGGAACACTTTGGAGCAACATCCAGGGCAGACCCACAGCAAGATCCCCTCCGTGTAGACCCCACGCGTCCGTTTCCCCCCTCCAGGTGCCGGCGGCAGCGCCGTCTGTGAGGGGGGCACACCCCGGACACGCGTGCTAGGAGTTTGCAACCGCGACAACACTTCCAGACTTGTGAGAGGCCGCCGGCGCAAGATTTGGCGGCATGCTAGCCCCCGGAGGCCGCCGGCCACAGCCGTAGACGCGCGAAGGGCAATCCGCGTAGAGGGAAATTTTTGGATACTTCTCCATCACCAAAAATTATGAAAAAATATCATCGTTCCTATAACACATGTGCCCACGTCGTGCAAAAAAAATCATGATTTTATCGCGCTTCGAGTATTTAGTAATATTGATGCCGCATCGTTACCGCAAACGGCTACTACCGTGTCATCGCCGTTCGTGAGGGGGGCCACGCCCCGGAGACGCGTCCCGCCTCTTCAGACATGCCACCACACCACCCTGCATGTATGAGGGCCCGGTGCGACGCTTCAGACATGGCACAAATAGGTAGTTGTGTAACTAAAATAGGTAGGAGGAGAGATAGCTCTTATGTCACAAAAAAGAAGTTGTAACAAACCTTTTATGTCGGATCTAGAACAAACCAATCGGTATCGCCATCATACATCCCAACCGTGGCTCGTGATGCATATATATGCATATCAAATGCACGGTTGGACGTATGATGGTGAATCCGAATGATTTGTATTCAGTCGATGAACTGGTAGATGTATGCAGTCGATGAACTGGTAGATGTATGTAGTCGATGAACTGAAAGACTTATGCAGGGAAGGCGAGAGGTGGGCTATATATAGGGTCGTCTGGCTCACAAAGTGATTGTGGTAGTTTCGATCCAACGACTCACATGAGCTAGGAAGAAACACACCCTTGATCCAACGACTCGCAAGAGCTAGAAAGAAACACACGATCCATGTGATTCTTCCTGATTGGTGGGATGCACATTAGTACCCACTCCGGACTCCGAAACCCTGATACTCGGAAAGAGTTTGTCCAGTTTGTACACGAAGTGCGTCCAGTTTTTGTCGTGACCCTCTCTACTCTTTCGCGCATCCCCCCCTCTAAGTGACGGCTGCTCTACCTTCCGTGGAGGGGGGCCACACCATGGAGCCCCAAGACGGGGGTCTACGCATGCCAGAACACTTTCACACATGCATCGGGACCCGTGCAATGTTTTGGTGGCATAGCAACACCCCGAAGGCCACCCCGAATCCCCGTTGACCAGTAGATCTAGCCCTTTGACTTTCGCTGGACGGGCTTTGACCGGTGGACTCTTCCACCTGGTTGCGATAGGTCAGCCCATAGCAACATCCCCGAACACGGTCTGGACCCAACCCAACACTAGATTCCCTCCGGTTCCACCACACCCGCAC